ACCTATTTTTTCATTTAAATGTTTGCGATAGTAACGCATGTCGTACCGGTACATATCAGGTCACATTATAGGAGAGAGGAAATCCCAAATTGACGGAAACTATGCGCTAAAAAACCAGGACTAAGGACGTTGAAATAAAGAGGGGCTCTTACCTTTTAAACCATTGAACCTATTTGGTGAAATTCGGTACAGCGATAGTTTGAGACCCGGGAAAGGACATCTAAAAGTTTTTAACCCGAAAAACCCACGAAACCGGGAACTGTGCTGTTAAAATCACTATATATATTTGATTGAAATGCGATACAACATTGATTTGCAAACATAGAATAGTGAAACCTCACGAGACGGGCACTGTACGGGTAAAACCTCTATGAGATTGTTTATTTTAGAAACCACGAAAATAAATTCATTTCTCAATAAATATAACCTAGGTACTGAATCGATTGTGATGATATTTGTTCCAGTTGTACAGCCGTAGAATATACCTTGACAAAGACTAATTTAAAAACCCAATTTATACAGAAGTCGCTATTTCACGCGGACGAAGTCGCGGGTAACAGCTAGTTTAAAATATATTAAAGTTCTAAAACTATAATTATAATAATGGTTAATGTCATCTTTGTATCATAATCACAAAGATAATGTTTGCAGTAATCAGGAAAATGGACCTCTATTGCTTATAACATAAAGATATAAATCTCAAAACATAAATATTTATTCGTTGAAGAACAACAAAAGCGTATTTTCTTGGTAGGAACAAGATTTTTCCGGTTCGTTGATTCGATATGTACGATAGTTCGTTAGTTTCAGCAGCGTGACAAGCTCATTTCGTCTTGTTTATTAGTTCAGGTGTCAACGTGTCGCCTAGGCACAAATATTAATATTTCTCCAGGCGGCAACGCGACCTACTTGCCGTATATTATCGACCCTATTACAACTATTACGAGTATTCAGTAATAATTGTCATTTTTCTATCAATGGCTCGTAAACATTAAGTCATTAAAAATTGACGAGGTTACCGAATAAAAGGTTTTACGTCGGAACGGATAGAGGGCGTTGTTTCAGGGTTGAGATAAAATGTTAGTAATCATTATAGAAATTGTATGTTTATCCTATAGAGGTGCGTACTTTTATTGTGTATAGAATAACATGAAGATAATATTACGTTCGCTTTGTTTAAGTAGTTGAAATTTTCTTTTTGCTATTAAGATTCCTGTTCCGAGTCGTGAAAATATGATAGAGTTTTTAGTAGTATTTCTCCCTTCAAATGTTCCAAATGTAATTATGAAGTCTGAATTTGTGTATGCCTGTAGGGGCGTGTTCTCAATAATTTGGCACGAGCTTAAACTATTATATTATTTACTAACTGTGCCCGCGACTTCATCGGCGTGTAATAGTTATTCACAGCTCCTCCCCCGTAGTGGATAGCATGATAATATGTACCCTAATTACATGTTGACCCAACCTGATAGTACTACCTACTTATTTATGCCAAATTTGAAATAAATAAATGCAGCACTTTTTGAGTTCAACCCGGACATACATACACACAGATAAACGGACAAAAATTCTAAATACCAGATTTTTAGTTTAGGTATCGACTGTAGATCACGACCAAATCATTATTTTAAAAAAATATTAGGTATACCTACAGTTTTCACTTTCCTACGATTATATGTATAGACCTCTGTCTTCACTTTTGTAGGAAAATGATATATTGTAATTTTATTGAGGAAGAATGTTTAAATCATAATTATTTTATTTGTTCAAGGCCTCGTTTCACCTACCTCCTTTTGTCAGTTTTTAAGTTGAATCAAGTTATAACAAAATAATTGTAATAACTTGAGACTTCCTTGTACTTTAGAAAATATATCCAATTATAGTGCCAAGCAACTAACGAGCAACTATTATCTATTATTATATAAATAAAAATGAATTTCCATTCGTTAGTTTTGCTAAAGCTCGGGAAAGGCGGAACCGATTTAGCTAATTTATGTCTTGAAATATTCGTGGACGTCCAGGGAAGGTTTGAAAGGTGAGAAAAATTTTTTAGGCGGTACAAAGCTTGCCGGCTAAGCTAATAACTAATAATTGTTTTAAGTGTGGGAGAGCCATGCTTCGGCACGAATGGGCCGGCTCGACCGCATTGATACCACGGCCTCACAGAAAACCGACGTGAGCAACGCTTGCGTTGTGTTTTGTCGTGTGAGTGAGATTACCGGAGGCCCAATTACCCTCCCCTTCCCCAATCTCCCCAATCTCTGAATCCCCAACGATCCTCAAACTCCTAATCCCCAAAAGACTGGTAACGCACTTGTAACGCCCCTGGTGTTCCAGGTGTCCATGGGCGACGCTGATTGCTTGCCATCAGGTGATCCGTCTGCTCGTTTACCGGCTTATGCCATAAAAAATTTACCATTACTGGTGCTAGTGATTAATACTCATACAAACTAAAGTAATAGCTACTACCCGTGCAATATTACTGACGCTCGCGTGAGCAGACACTAACTTCTTAACTAAGATACGTCAGTCCGCCTTAGTAGTTGCAATTGTGCTGTACTTTACAGTTTTTTTACAATTCTAGGCGAAGTAAAAAAGCAAGCACCGGACCAATGGAGTTGTTAGGCTTTGTTATTTTATTGTTTGTTTATTATGGTTAACTGTTAGAGAATGCCATTAGGCATTAAGTCCGCCATTGTACATCTACAAAAAGTGTAAATAATAATAAAAATAATAATATTGTTTTTAATTTTTGAGTCTAGAAAAAAGTGCTAGTGCGTTTCAACATCAACATTTTTTTATGGAATAAATTGGTTAAAGAGCAAATGGATCCCCTCATAGTAAGCAATCGGCGTCGTCCATAGATACTCGGAACGCAAGAGACGTTACAAGGTGCGTTACCCGCCTTTTGGGATTAGAAATTTGAGGATTGTTGCGGATTCTGGGATTAAGAAATTTGGATAGAGGGGGGGGGGGGGGCTTCGGCCTCCGCAGATAGCATTTAAAAGACTCAGATTCATCGAAGAATGCTGCTGTCGTCCTACTCATGTCCAATATGCAGTGCCTTATGAGGCTCTGGTGAATGACCACCAGAGCCAGAGCCAGGATGGCAGAGAGAGTGAGGTGTGAACCTCACTCTCTCTGCTCACACCTACGGCAGGATTAGGGTTAGTGTACAGTAACAAACATTCTAAATCCCAATCACAGATATTCAGTTTGTCCAATGTAATAGAGCTAAAGTGTTACACTTCTTTACGCAAATATTCCTACGTTACGTTAATATTTTTATAGCGTGTGAAATATTTGCTCGTAAATGTAAACGTAAACACAGGAAAATGTCTCAAAAAATGTCGCTACTATTATATCCAAACGTAATATTTCTACGTATTCCTAACTCATGTTATAAGGTACATAATATTATACTTAATTCTACTTTTATGTATTTGAAAAGGTAGAACGTGTACCGATCTTGAGTATGACCGTCCAGTTTTCGAGTGGTTTGGAATTGTGCCCGACAAAAAATTCAAAAGGCTTGTCCCATATTAGCGACACGTGTTCGAAAAATAATGAGTAACAAACTGCACTTAAGAATTTTTTGAGAAACCTTTTATGATTGTTATATATAATTTCTTTACTGAGAATTTAATTGTCAATTATAAATTATAATAAGAAAAGAAAATGTTTGCGATCAAAAAAATTAATTGATATTTTATTTATCTATCAGTAAAAGACTATAGTCACAGAGAGCTTTTGATTGATGAAAACTACACTACTAACTATCTCTATCTATATAGGTACAATAAAAATAAATTCATTTTTGCCTTGGGCACAGCATTACGCGTAAATGGTTGTATCGATTTTACTTATTGTTTTTTTTGTTGTATTTGTTATAATTAGGAGAAGGTTCTTAAGACAGAAAAATACTGAAACGGGAAACGTTTACCTACGGGAATGGGAGAACAGGATTGCGCGTATACGAAGTCGCGGCCTGTAAATGATTAAATATTTGCAAAATAAACATTTTAAGAGTATTTTAATTGTTAGATAAATATAAAAACTAATCAATAAAACCATAGTTGTTAGCGTTGATAAAATAATGGCTGAATTGTATCACATAAACGATGAATGATACCGCAAACAAATATTAAATTGAAACCGTTGCCGTTGTGTGTTTATTACGTATCACACTAGTAGGCAAGCTGTGTGTGAGAGACATCGAAATCAATCAATTTGTTACTGAGATATTGATTTTAATATTATATTAAGTCAAGTAACATTTTCTTGTGACGACCAGTTGACAACGTTTAAGAACATGTTACATTATAGCGCAGGTATTATTTACATGCTATATATAAAGTTTCATACTGCAATTAGTCCAGACTGAACTAAGACATACATTGGGGCAGATAATTAAACTACATAATATATCGACTATTTGATTGATACTAGATCGCAGTCGAACGAATGCTCAGTAAATATTTCAATGTAACTATACAAAAAACTGCAGTGAGACGACATAACATAACATAACATAACATCACGCCTTTTATCCCCGAAGGGGTAGGCAGAGGTGCACATTACGGCACTTAATGCCACTGTACAATGTAACACCCACTTTTCACTATTTATGTTATAAGTCCCATGTAATAGGGGGTGAGCCTATTGCCATATACCGGACACATTTCCAGACTCCGTGCTACTACTGAGGTTTATACAAACCCAGTAATATTTTGCCCGATCCGGGAATCGAACCCGAGACCCCGTGTCCGGCAGTCGCACTTGCGACTACTCGACCAATGAGGCAGTCAGAGAGACGACAATGGTTGAAAATAAATAATAGTAGAAAAGATTATTTTACCACCAATAAAATCAATTAAATATGCCAACGTTTTCTCAGTTCAATGTACCTAATGTCTACAACGTCTTCATTTTCGAGATTTGCATAGCAGGTACGTCTTTAATGCAGCATTAACATAATAAATTATGTATTCTCGTTTCAGGAACCTATTTCTTGCTCTACGATTTCCTCGACTATTTTGAAAAAGACGGACCGAGTTTTCTGCAGCGGGAGAAATTTCTTGAAATCGTCGACACTATCTTCAAGGACTTTTCCAAAATTAAGAGGGAGGCTATCGTTTTTCAAGTAAGTACTTACTTGAATAGTTTATGTGTGTCAACTAAATTAAAATGTGTAACTAATTCATAACA